CCCGGCCCCCCTGCCCAACTGGTGGACGGCAGTGCTGTGCCTGGGACTGCTCTTGGGACGGAGCCTCGACTTGGGAGCCACTGCCTCAACAGTTCCCTCTTGGTGACCGGCCAGCCCTGTGGTGACAGGCACCCAGTCTTGGATTTAAGGGGCCACAAGCGGAAGTTGGTCACACCATCTGCTGCCCAGGAGTCAGCCCGCCGGCGGTCCAGGAAGGGCCATCTACCAGCCCCCGTGCAGCCGTATGAACACGGGTATCCAGTTGCAGGCGGGTTTGCCATGCCACCCGTCTCCTTAAACCATAACCTCACCACCCCCTTCACCTCCCAGGCTGGGGAGAACTCCCTGTTTATGGGCAGTCCCCCCTCCTACTACCAGCTGTCCAATTTGCTGGCAGATGCCCGCCTGGTGTTTCCAGTGACTACTGACCCTCTGGTGCCAGCAGGCCCCGTCAGTTCCTCTTCCACGGCTACCTCAGTCACTGCCAGCACCCCTTCCTTCATGCTGAACCCCTCTGTTCCAGGGATGCTGCCCAGCTACTCACTCCCGTTCTCACAGCCACTCCTGTCCGAGCCGAGGATGTTTGCCCCTTTCCCCACCCCTGTCTTGCCCACCAACCTTTCCCGGGGCATGTCGGTCTACCCAGGCTACATGTCCTCCCACGCGGGCTACCCAGCTGGCGGCCTCCTCCAGTCCCAGGTGCCTCCGTTTGACTCTCACGAGGTGGCTGAGGTGGGTTTCAGCTCCAATGACGACGAGGACAAGGACGATGATGTGATAGAGGTCACTGGGAAATAGCTGGGAGCCCCTCTCCACCTCACTCAGGGCCCCAGCAGGTTGCCCACCCAGCTGGCAGGCAGCTGTCTGGGCTTCTGAGAGTAGGGCACTTGGCAGGAGGGGCAGGAAGAGGACAAGGAAAGGGGGGTGACCATAGTGGCAGGGCTCTGCTGCAGCCCAACAAAGGCAAAAAATTCCAGCAGAGCAGCATTCGCGGGAAATCAGGGACCCAAACAGGACTGGAGGGCCGGGCAGCCCGCCTCTCTTCCTGCTGCCTTGCTTAGCTGTCAGCTTGCCTGCTTGCCCCTCTGAGTGTAGGCACTCACATCCCATCTCTGTCTTTGGGAACATTCTCTCCCAAGAGACCTGCCTTACTGGGTGACTTAGCTTGGCCTGGAGAGGGGAGGGGAGTGAGGGGGGGCGGGTAAAGAAGGAGTGTGGGCAGGGAGAGCAGACTGCGATTCCACGTGAAGTGGAGTCTTTTTAGGGGGTGGGAAGGAAGCAGACCAGGTATGTGTGCTGTGCGTGTGTGTGTTTATGTATGTACGTACGTGTATGTAACAGCAGGGATGAAGGTGGGGGGGAGGAAGGGAGGGACGAATGAGGGGGGAAAATGAATTTATCTTTTTAAAAATGGAAATCGGAGTGTGGTGGTTCATGGCAGTTAGAACGAACATCAGGGTGAGCCCAGGAGAGCCGTGGAAACCACAAGTTTCCTTCTCGTGGGTGAAGAGGAGCCCAGGTAACCTGAGTCCCTGGTTTTCAGAGCCACATTGGTTGTGGAATTTGGGGGAGATAATGGGAGAAATGGGCATTGCCCCTCTCTGCCTCTCCCTAGTGGCTGCCTCGGAGCAGCCCTTTCCAGGGAGGGGAACCCTGTGCTGTGGGGAGGCTGGAAGGACATGCTTCACAGGGATGGACCTGAGCCCCACTGCCTGTCCCAGTGGCCTTTCCTGCCCCTGCCTTCCCTGGTAGAGAGCTCAGTTAATTTATTTCTTATGGGCAATTATTTATTATTTAGACTTTTCATGTGTCTTTTTGTTGTTATTGGGAGGGGGAGGGGGAGGCTGGGGTAGGGAAGAGGGTAGGAGATGGGAAAGGCAGTTTTAAAATACCCCAGACCCCATGGCTGCCGGTGAGCGCATCCCCGAGGGCATCCCCGAGGGTGGCGAACTGGCCATGGAAAGAAAGCCAGGCTTGACCAAGGTGTGCACCAAATAGCCACGTTTTGCAGGAAGACCAGGGACTCCTGTGTCTGGAGAATTGGTGGGATGAGACTCGTTCCACGGAGCTGGAAACTTGGGGTCATGGAGTTTGCTATTGGAAAGTAAATGACCCCAAATTTGGAGTTGCATCCTCCTATGGTGACCTTAGACTTAGAGGCAGGCTCGCTACGCTGTGTATTGATGGCTGCGTTGAGGGAACAGACTTGATTTCCTATTGGGAAATGTGTTGACTTCCCCAGCCTATCAGATGGTCAGTGTGGGACTGCTGTCTGCTACCTCCATCCTCTGAAGGAACATGGAGGAGCCCTTCCTCTGTAGGAGCCTGAAGCCTGGCTTTGTCCTAAAAGAACATACCAGCCATTCTGGGTCGACCCTTTCTTGTTGCCAGTGCCAGGGGCGGGGCATCTAGCCTTTAGGCGTAAACACTGGCTGTCTTCCGCTTGGCTTTCCCTGCCTGCTGAGGCCGCTCCAGGCAGGTCTTTATGATGAACACACCACATCTGTCTGCAGAGCGCCACCCCCTCCCCGGGGGTCCTCACTGGGCAGCTGCTGCCCCTGCCTCCCCTGTCCTGGAGGCAGTTCAGTCAGGTCACCCCAGTAGTAGCTGCTTCTGCAACTCTTCCACCAGCTGGTTTTCGTTGTTGGGGGGGCCTTACACACTCGGGGGTGTTGTCCCCAGAGAAGAGACGAGGAGATGGCTGATGGGGGTGTGCGTGTGCGTGTGCGTGTGTGTGTGTGTGCGTGCGTGCGTGTGTGCGCGCGCTGTCCGGTTACACCAAGAGTGGGACTTAAGGCGCTTTTTTTCTCTTTTCATAAGCACCCTGTCAGACTCTTAACTCTCCTACTCATAGAAGCCTTAGACCTACAATTTAGCTATGCAAATTATTTTAGTAATTTAAAACTAGCACTTCAACCAGTGCTCTCTCAGATGCACCAGGAGCGGGTGGTGAGTGGACTCAGTGTGGGCTTTGAGGTTGAGGCTGGTGCTGAGGGCGTGAGCTACCCCAGGTCTCCGGTTTGCAGAGCGCACTCACACCCTGGGCCACAGTTGATACCTCCAAGGCCCCGGAGCACTGGGATCCCAGAGCAGGTGTGTGTGTGTGTGTGTGTGTGTGTGTGTGTGTGTGTGTGTGTAAGGAGGGGTCATTCTGTGTGCACCTCTAAAACATCACAGCAGCAGGCTCCAAGAATCCACAAACTATTCCAGCAAGGAATTGAGACCAGTCACTGGAGGGATGGGCTTTGGAGGTACCAGGAAGTGAATGGGTATTATGAGAGGCAGTGCGTGCCTGCTGTTGACCCAGTGCTTCCAGGGGCTGGGTCTTGCTATAACTGGGGAGAGGCCATAGCTTCAGGAGGCAGACCTGGCTGGAGAAGGCTTTGTTCGATATGTGCAGCTTATACTGTGTAGGCAGGTGGGGGTGGGGTCACGGGAAATTGGGGTGCTACCAGTTCCATGTTTGTTTTTTTAATGACGGTGAAAACCCTTCTGACTTCCCGGCTGCCTCTTCCTGTGTGCTGGTAGGCAGTGAGCATGTGTGTGAGGGAAGCAGGAACTGTCTCAGAGGCCACGGACCATGTTCTACAGCTGCTTTGATAGAGACACTTGCTGGTGGCTTCCACCTGCCGCCCAGGCCTGCGTGAGGGAGGGGTGGGGAGATGAGGGAGGTGGGAGACCGGCCCGGGCACTTCCCCTCCCTCATCTTCCACAGAAGCCCCGTCTGGCTGGTTCAGCCTAAGTTCTCACCGAGGGAATATGGTACAATTTGCTTCAGGATTCCATGTGTAGTGATGTTCGATTTCCTTTTCTTAGTATCTGTGGATAAAAATTGAACAGAGACAGAGTAGCCACTTAAGAAAGTAAGTGAACCCTGTTGGATCAGATTGGATTCTGCAAAGTCCTCACCTTCTCGAGTTGTGCTCAGCATCTATTTTGTCATCTCCCGACTTCAGGAATAACGCTGGTCCTTGGCACTCTCTTCCCTAGGAATTAGTGTCTGAAGTTTATATACTTGTGACTCACAACTAAATATGATATTTCCCACTCCAGGGTCTGAAGCAAAGCTAGGGGAGTTCTGCTGATAGGTGGAAACAGACAACCAAACCTTAGGCGTTTGGGGGGGACTGTCACTCCCAAAGTCGTCAGCAGAGCAAGTCGTCTGCTTCAGTCTGTGCAAGCCTGGCCTTGCTCCGGAACTGAGTGCTCCTCCCATGTGGAAGGTCTGGGGGCTTCACATTCCTTGTTCCTAGTGTTCCTGGCCATGACCCTTCCTCCTGTTTCCCAGTTCCCTGTGATTCCTCAGAAGACCAGTCTCCCTTCCGAACCACGGCCTCCTGTACACCCAGCTAAGTGGCTCTTTTGCCACCAGAACTCCTGAGGAGCTCCTTTCCCCAGTGGACCCAGGAGACATTCTGGCCCTCTGCTCACTGTTCCCAGGAACCTGCCCCTCAAGGCCTGTCTGAGAGTGCTTCGCTCTCCATCCATCACCTTCCCTATCCATTCCCCTCCTACTGGCGCTTCTCTTCTGCCCTGTGTATTCCACTGTTACCCTAAATGTCTGTCTGTGCCACTAGCTTGGCCCTGGGCCTTTTATGAATACCCAAGTCTTACAATGAACTTCCTGAGCAGGCGATGTCCAACTTCTTTGCTCTCAGGGACTGAGTCTGCCTCTCCCCTCTCTCGGGCCTATGTGACTGAGGAAAAGGTGCATCTGAGTCCGGGAGAGGTAGCCAGGCAGGCTGCAGAGTCTTTGGGGCAGAGGCTGGGAGAGATTTGGGTACTTTCTGTTACCACTACTGCGGTGATATTCAGAAGAGGGGGGACCTCATACTGTGACCTGATCCAGGACCCTCCTCTGGAAGAGAGCTCAGCCCAGGTGTGTGTATGTGTGTGTGTGTGTATGTGTGCCTGTGAGTGTGTGTGTGCACATGCACACACCTGCTCATGTGCATATGAGTGTAAACTGACTTGTCTGGTTGTGTTACTCAGGGTGGGCTGGGGACTCAGCAGAAGAATCCCTTTAGCCCGCTCAAGACTGGTTTTTTCCTGTACCCTCTCCAGAGGGGTCAGGAAGGAGGTCCAGGTGGGTTGAGGGGGTCGCAGTGGATAACCACTAAGGCCACATTGCTGCCAGGAGTGGGGGGGGTTGGGGGCCCCAGGGACCTGGCACCTGGCTTTGGTTTTCCGTCTTCTTTCCTCAGGACGCCCCCTGAGGCCTGGGATTGCACCTGGCTTTGAGGAGCACCTGTGGCTGGTGCTCTGCCGGTGTAGTCATGGGCTTCCCTCCTCTCGCAGGGCAGGTGCTCCTGCCCCAGAGACTGGGCAACTGGCTGTTTCTATGACGTATTTATTTTTACTTGTGTTTCATGTCACTTTTTTAAAAAAGCAAACAGAACAATTGTAAGTCAGTATAACTGCCTATCAGTTTTCTTTATTTCTCTTTTTGTAAAATAAAATTTAAACTCAAGAAGGCAATCTTGTTTGATCAAGGCATTGTCTGCACAGCTGTTTGGCAAGTGGTGAAAGGGATGTAACAGCATAGAGGGATAGCATGGGGGTGGGGGGCAGACAGACCCTGCAGTGATCGTGGCAGTGAGCTCGCTAGCCTCCTCCTGCCTTTGCTCATCTGACAGCACTGCCTTTCCAGGCTCCAGAGGACAGTGAAGCTGCCTCAGGGGCCGTGAGGCTACTGGGCCTCAGTCCTGCAGAGGCTGCCTGCAGAGGCCTAGTGGCTGGGGCCTGGCAGCACCACATGAGCCTTCTCCATTTGTCATGAGTGAGAGGATGGAACCACTGCCTCCCAGAGAAATAGCCAGGGCTTTGGAACCTGAGGAGCTGGGGGACGGAGGGGAGTGTCCACTCTTCCATGTTTAAGGGGAGGAGCCCTGGGAAAACACTCTGGAAATTTACTGAGGGAGCATTAAAGATCCTCTGTGGGGATTCCTTGGACAGAGGAAAGCAGGAGACAGGGCAAATCGGGGCTCGTGAGGGAGAATATGTGCTATGGGGACGTAGGACTGGAGTGGAGCGTGGGTGGGGGCATAGCTAGGTGAGCCTCTGCTCAGACGCTGCGGCCTGCCCCCCAGGAAAGTGCCCTGGCTTCAGCCTCCTGGTGGCCAGCGGAGGCCTTGCAGGAATCCTAACCAAGGGCGGGGCTTGCTCTGAGAGGAAGTGTTGAAGGCTGATGGCTTGCAGTCCCAGTCACAGGCAGACTCCTTTCCGACAGACAGTGGCGCTGAAGCAACTAAGGCACACCCTGAATTCTGACGTAGGGCCCTGGAGTTCCCCGACCAGGCTAAAGGAAGTGAGCAGTGCCCTAGCTGGTGTGGCTCAGTGGACAGAGTGTTGGCCTGCGAACTGACGGGTCCCGGGTTTGATATAGGGTTGTGGGCTCAATCCCCAGTGAGGGGTGTGCAGGAGGCAGCCCGTCAATGATTCTCTTTCATTGATGTTTCTATCTCTCTCTCCCTTCCTCTCTGAAATCAATAACAATATATTTTTTTAAAAAGAAGTGAGCAGAAAGGACCAGATGAGGAAAGGGCAGCTCCAGACAAGGGTTTCGAGGGAGAAGTCCCCAAGCTTCTGAGAAGCAGAACCCAGCGCTATCATGGCCAGTGCACAGGCCCTTTGGGCACCCAAAGGTTTGATCACGTGTCTGATGTTCACAAGCAAAACAACTGCCACGACCCTGCCGACCCAGCCCCGAGTGCCTGTAAGGGGCCGGCTGCCCAGAGGCCTGGCCCTGTGGGTGAGGAGGGATCGGTGTGAAGCTGCGGGAAAGGAAGTCGGGATTATGAGAGTCTCCGTGTGCTCAGCCTGCAGTAGTGGGCAGTGGGCTCTGCAATAAGACGAGTGCCTTCCCAGGCATCAAACCTCCGTGTCAGGTGCACCAAGGGGACTCGTGGCCCAGCAAGACTTGCTTCCACTGCAAGACGGCCTCTCAGGAGGGCAGGGTTTTTACGGTTTTACCTTTGGGGCCCTAAAAGGCTTGTAGGTCCTCAGAAATAGGAGCTGAAGATGGAACCTGTCTTCAAGGAGCTCACACTTGGCCCGGGAGTTACCTGGTACGCTCAGCTGAGGGCAGACCAGCCTCCCCCAGCTGCATCCAGGGCCAGGAGGAGGGAGCCTGGGAGGGGGTGTGGCCCTGGAGAGCTCCCCGGGGGATGGAGCCTTGGTTTTTTGTTCCCTCGGTATCCTCACCCCTAGAACTGTCCTGGCATGTTGGCTGGGGGACAGGTCCCCCCTGTGCTTTGGGTGGCGGGTGGAGTGCAGTGGAGTTGGAGGCAGGAAGCTGATATGTGTGCTGTCGGAGGTTGGCTCCACTAGCTTCTTCCTTGAGCTCAGATGGGGCCTCAGTTTACTCCGCTCTAAGACGGGAGCAAGTGGCCCTGCCTTGCTCTGGTCCCAGGTCTGTCGGGAAGCCTCAGTGAGAGAAAGTGGCAAAAATGCCGGAAACCTCGGCTTCCCGGACCCCAGCCTGGCTCCTCATAGCGGCCCACCCGGCAGCCTTCCCTTCGCACCTGGGGCCGCGCCGTCTTGGTGCCC